TTCCCAAAATTCTTAATTATCATTGAACATCCCTTAACAAAAATCCGAAGAGTTACAACGGGATATTTTATTCTGAAGACTTTTTTTTTTATTGTTAATAAGGCACGCGCGCCGCGTTTCTCGGCCGCTCTTGGCCGCCACCGTATACTGCGCCTCTCACGCACTCACTCGAAGTATACAGGTTCGGCAAGTCCCCATGGTACATCGGCCGTTACGTGAGATCGATACAGTAAGTCATAGAAATCCGTGCGATAGACAAGGATGGTTACATTGAAGACGTTTCATAATCTGAATAGTCACTCCCACTCCTAACCCGAAACGGGCGATGACTATTCAAATTATGAAACGTCTTCACTATAGCCATCCTTGCCTATCGCACGGATTTCTTTACTTTACTTTGTCGCTCTCATGTAAAGGCAGATGGACCATGTGGATTTTCCAGTTCTGTATACTCTACGCCTGCAACTAAGGATCTACTTGTATCGCTCAATATTGACCGTTAGGTTTGTTATTTTTTGATAATAATAAATTTAATATTAATAAACTATTTAATTAATAATGTTAATAACAAAGCGAATTATTCAAAACCAAACTATTGCTACTTTAAATTAAATGTTATATATTTTAATGGAATATAGCATATACTCGATTAAATTAATTAACTTAATTTTTTTTAATCACTGTCATGAAAAACAATTTGATAATTTAGTTAGGATATTAATTACAAAAACTTATTGGTAAAGAAAAACTAAACAATAGTAATGTTAGGTACATGTTTGGAAAATCAATGAAAAACTACGCAATTCAATTATTTATAAGTTATATAATGTTTTATTAGTAATTTACAGTAATGTACTGTACATTAATTTATATTTTATGAATTGAATACAAAATTTTTTAATAATTTCGAGCGAAAAAATCGAAAACTACGAATTTGTTTAAAAAAATAGTTTAAACAATTTTTGACCATTAGTAACGTCTGGCAACATGTACGGATATGTTTCAGAGATCATTTTTTAGTAAGATTATGAAAAAAATCGAATGAGATTCATGTTCCTAGCGGGAGCGACGATACAGTCTAGACTACATGGAAATAATGTATTCTAGTCATTTGCACAAGACTTTTTTTGTGTAATTAGGTTTTGGTTTCTGCGTTATCTTCAATACGTATCGTGTAATGTTATTTTTAACTACGGCTTGACCAAGTCACCTTGTTGGCGTAACAAACGCAAGAGACCTTAATAGTAGGGTAAGTATATTCTATACAGTGTTATGCATACCAATGTTCACTGTTCGACGTTCAGGCAGTCAATGAGCTCCAGTGCTAGTCTGGTAACGTTGCGGTGCATATCTGAAACTCGCGTACAAATAAACATGGTCAAGTTTGTACAAAATTGAAATCTGCATTAAATTATTTGAAAATTAGTAAAACTAACATCCATTTCCCTCTCCTTTAAGTAAATGTGAGGAAAGGGTCTTATTACCTTAAGTGTATTATTTTTCATTGATATAGAAATAAATAGAAGTAATAAATTTTAAATTTCGTTTTAGGACAAACTCACACTAAGTATGGTTATTTAACTGTTTGATCAACAGTTATACAGGGAAACTTTTACGACGTGACAAATGGATAAATATTCTGGTAAAGTATTTTGTATGTTATACATTTTACCTACGACCACTACTGTAAATACTTAAAAACACACTGTCTGCGATCAATATAAGATACCTATTACGTACGGTAAAAAAATCGCACAGTATTCCTAGCAACTGCCTAGCAACGGCCAATACAATACTGTTTGTATTGACCGTTGCTAGGCGGTTGCTAGGAAAACTGTACGATTTTTTTAACAAGCTGCGCGATTTTTTTACCGTACGACGTAATAGGAATCCTGCATTGATCGCAGACGGTGTATTTTTAAGTATTTAAAGTAGTGGTCGTAGGTAAAGTATAGTACGTAATACGTGGTGTAATGCAATTACGCACTCATAGAATTACGCACTCGCCGCTACGCGGCATCGTGCGTAACTATTCCATTCGTGCGTAAAATGCTTTTTACAACACTTATTACGTAATATACTATTATATAATCTAAGTTTGTATAGAGACGGTTGCAGAGCAACAAAAACAAAAAAATTGTTGTTAAAAAATAAATTAAAAATGATGACATGTTCTAAATTCTATTAATCTATTTGTGTAGTTGTACAACCTTCAGGAAATAAAGAAAATTATTCAATCAGCACAAGAGTTTATACAGTCCACTCTATCGAATAACATTGGTCCATCTTCGCTGGATTTCTTGTTTCCTGATTTGAACATACAAGAAGCCAATTGACAGGCGACGGGGAACACAGGTGACAGGCAATAAAAATACTACTATAAATAGTATCATTTATCTAGGAACACCACTTCCCAAGTCATAGCCGAGCAAAGGTTGGAGCCACGCACTGAGATAAGATCTAACCCCACAACGGTGTACGCAGCAGCAGCAGCAGGCGAAGAAGTGAGGTCCTAAGTTCCTGAGTTCCTTCCATTCCATTCCCAGTACAACTCTGAATAATTCAATTTTCTATTCTGTCTCGATTAGAACGGTCTAAAGTAAGCAATTAGTTATAATTTTGTATTCTTAACTGACAAGTTAGGTGCAAAACTGATTTACTGTCATANCCATGTAAAGAAAATATTTTTAGCTTTACAAAATGTTCCATTTCGCATGGGCACTACATAACTTTGTTATTTTAAATTGGAACATCCTGTATATTATTGCATTTTTGAATTCCTTGGTTGATATTAGGTATAGTTTAATAAATGTACGTGGTGTGTAAAACTTACCGTTTTCGATATAAGCAGTTGTTTTTGAAAAAATCATTCAACTCTTTAAATGAGGCTAGATGGCATCTAAACCGTAAGAGTTCCATTTAAAAAAAAAGGTTATTCAACTGGTAAGATTATTCAAAGTAGGTCTCAGTATTTCCGAGTGTGAGTAACGTATACGTTTTACTCACAGATGACAAGATAGAGTAATTTATGCCAAAAGGAAGTGTGAAAACTGCAGGTTCCTAACTCTTAAGGTTTAGACGCTATCTAGCCTCATTTAGTGAGCTGAAATTGCGATTTTTTCAAAAACAACTGATTATCTCGAAAACGGTAAGGTTTAAACAGCATGTACATTTAATAAACTCTACCTAATATTAACCAAGGAATTCAAAAATGCAACAATATTCGAAGGGTTTCCTGCCAGAAGGGCGTATTAACCTATGTACATACAACCTTCTGCCAGGTTAATCGAGGTAATAATTGATCATACGACCAAGAAAAGTATTGCGTGGTGCTGTTATTATTGGTGTGATAGATACGACCTTTTGTCGCGACAAATTTATCGTAGGGGAAAGTCGGGTAAGTCGACGAAGCGGGCAAGATAACGAATTGTAATTGTTCGCTTCCCAGCTAATAATACAGTTTCAGTGTATAGTGGTGCCATCTCACTAAGATTAGACAAATTAAGTTTCAAACGACAGCCGGCATTCTACAGACTCCTATATGGTATTAAACGTTTGTGTTTGTTTTCCGATAACATGTTATAAGATTGTCCCCGTGCCATATAAGATTTTCCAACAGTTTTCCAAGGTATGTTAATGCTAAATTGTGTTGAATTACTAGTTGTGGTTCTTGTTTATTGCATGCGAGTATAATTTTGTTGGTACCTTGTCTGCTGTTCAAATATAGTTAGGGAAGTTGAACATAACCTTAATGGGTAAGACGACGGGGGTAAGGTGACGAATTCGTCATCTTACTCGCATATTATTTTTTGATATTAATTTTATTTTCTTTCACAGAATGCCACGAAAATATATCAAAAAAACTAATAGGCGATCATGGAGCGAGACAAATTTAACTGCAGCCTTAATTGCTTTAGATGAAGGTCTATCTTGCAACAGTGTTGCTGCACGTTATGAAATTCCTGAGGCACCCTTGCGTCGCTATGCAAAAAAGAAACGTGCGGGGGACAATCTACCAATACATGGCGGAAGATACGTTTAGTGTGGCCCAAATTGAGGCTTTGGCCAAATATATTAGAGACATCGATAGAAGAGCATTTTTTATTTTTAAGCGGATACGTATGAAGGACGAACTACTATTTGGATCACCTCCAGGGTCCGCAGGTAGTGCTCAGCAGAATGGCTGGATGTCTACCGAAATATTTGTGAAATATTTAAAACATTTTCAAAAACATAGTAACGCTACTCCTGAAAAACCAGTTCTTCTACTAGTCGATAATCATTCCTCTCACATTTCGTTGGAAGGAATAAATTTTTGCCGCGGAAACGGAATCGTTATGGTAGGATTCCCACCCCACACCACTCATAGGTTGCAGCCTTTGGATGTATCGTTTTTTGGACCTCTAAAAACACTTTTTTCACAGGAATGCGACACATTTGTTGTCAGTAATCCTGGCCAAGCTGTTACTGATAAAAATATTTGCCGAATTTTTAATAAGGCATATTTAAAGGCTGCAACGGTTAGAAACGCTATTCAGGGTTTTAGAAGATGCGGAATTGAACCATTTGATCCTTATATATTTGGTGAAGAAGACTACGCACAGCTGAAACATCAGAAAGAACAGTTATTCCACCAGCAACTGCCCCATTAGTAAACGATACAGTTACTACACAGATAGATACCAATTCTCAAGAATATTTATCGGAAGATGAAATGCCTTTAATCTGCTTTGTGAAACCTGTGGAAAATACTTCTTCGCCACTTCATGGACCTCGTGACTCTTTTGTACCTGATAATAATAACACCAGTATAACGCGCCCAGATGTGGCAAATATAAAAAGAGATATTTTTGGATCACCTACTAAAGATATTGAGCGCCCCGGTCCAAGCGGAATTACAAAAAAAGATTTTCCATCAAAATATCCTCAGGAAGTCGTTAATAAAACTAGTAAAACAGACGAACTTATTTCGCTACAGAAAATACTACCTTTTCCAAAATATGAAAGAGCTGACAATAAAAAAAGGACGGAAAGTGGTTGCAAGCATAATTACCAGTACACCAGTAAAAAGACAGTTAGAGGAAAAATTGGAAGTCGAAAAGCAGAAAGAAGAGGCCAAAAGGTTGAAAATGCTGAAACGCGACAAGGAAAAAGGCACCAGAAACATGAAACAAAGTCAGCCCGCTATCACAGCAGAAAATGAAGAAACAATCTGCCCGTGTTGTAATGAACGTTTTGAAGATCCACCCACAGAAGATTGGATTCAATGTTCGCAGTGTCTAAGATGGTGGCACGAGTCCTGTAGCGATTATGAAGGAGTGGGAGCGTACACATGCGATGTTTGCTAATACTTCATCTTACCCGCATATGTTCGTCATCTTATCCTACCCTTGGGCATGATGACGAATTTTTCATAAAAGTAGTATATTATTTTTCTAGCATAACAGTTTATATTTTTTGTATCGTACATTCTATCTTTATGTTTATTACATGTTTAAGATTACATATAAATAAACGCACATTGAAAAAACAATTATCCGAGCTTTAAAAAAAATATATTTCGTTAACATCGCCAACATACCCGACTTTCCCCTAAATAGCATCATTTATCTAGGAACGCCACTTCCCAAGTCATAGCCGAGCAAAGGTTGGAACCACGCACTGAGATACGATCTAACCCCACAACGGTGTACGCAGCAGCAGCACGCGAAGAAGTGAGGTCCTAAGTTCCTGAGTTCCTTCCATTCCATTCCCAGTACAACTCTGAATAATTCGATTTTCTATTCTATCTCGATTAGAACGGTCTAAAGTAAGCAATTAGTTATAATTTTGTATTCTTAACTGACAAGTTAGGTGCAAACTGATTTACTGTCATATTGTCTTTCTGTTAATCGTTTTGTATACAAAAGTGTAGAATTCACTTACAAATTCAAGACAATTTTGACAGTTCAGTACGATTACATACGATTTCATCCCTATTTCAAACCATTACTTGCTTTATTCAATTATTAGATAATTTAAACAAGATATTATAAACGATTAACAATTTATTAACAATCTATTAAAATGGCAGCCGATTTAATGAAACTGATTAGGAAACGAGGTGCCGTGAAGCGATCTCTAACCAATTTTGAGCAATTTTTGAAATCAATTCAAGAGTTATCTGCGATTGATGTAACTGATGTGCTTGACAAAACAATTATTGAATTACAAGATCGTTGTGAAAATTTTAAAATATTATTTTCAGAATATGATCAGGTTCAAAATGAAATAGAGTCAATTTGCTATGAAGTTGATTTAGAAAAACAGTATCAAGATCGCGATGAATTTATATCTAAGTACCATTCTGTATTAGCAAATGCTAAAATATTATCAAATCAATTTGTAAAGACAGGTTACTGACAATGCTAATGTAAGTTCTATTCAAGGCACTGATTCACAAACAGTTAGTCAATATAATGAGATAAAATTACCTGAAACTAATCTTGGCAAATTCGATGGAAAATTTGATGACTGGTTAATGTTCAAACATACGTTTGAGGCTCTAGTTATTTCAAATACAACAATTAGTAATGTTCAACGGTTCCATTATTTGAGGTCATGTTTGGAGGGTGAGGCATTACAAGTAATTCGTTCATTAGAATTTATCCCTGAAAATTTTGATAAAGCTTGGCAAATGCTGTGTTTACGTTTCAATAATAATAGACAATTAATTCATAATCATGTTAGGGCACTATTCTAGTTAGATTCTTTGACAAAAGAATCTCGATTTGGTTTAAGATACTGTTTTGGATACTGTGTCCAGACATTTGCAAGATCTAGAAATGTTAAAACAGCCTACACAACATTGGGACACATTAATTGTTTATTTAATATCCACTAAATTTGATAAATTTACTTCCCGGGAATGGGATAAATATCGAATGAAGATTGAATCTCCAAAATTATCTCATATAAAGGAATTTATAGATAATAAGGCAGAGTATTTGTCAAGTATCGAAGCTAAAACAATAAATAAAGGTGTAAAACAAATGTCTTTATTAACATCAAACATTCAATGCAACTTTTGCAAGAAAAATCATATGATCTATAATTGTGAACAATTTTTAAAGCTTGCAATTCCTGAAAGAATTCAAAGGATAAAAGATTTAAAACTATGTAATAACTGTTTATGTTTTGGTCATAGATATAATGACTGCAAAGGAGGTAAAAAATTCCATCAAAAACATAGTACTTTATTACATCTTGACAAACAGCACACACCTCCACAAACACCAGATCAAGTTTCAGAAGTTACACTAACTAGTAACATCAACAATGATTCTGTTTTGCTTTCTACAGTGTGCATATCTATAGCTGATAATCAAGGTAGATTTCATAAGATCAGGGCGATACTAGATTCTGGCTATTTTAATTATGGGTATTAACAATGTTTCCTCCAATTTAAAACACAAATGTGACATTTTAGTGCAATCCTTGAATAGCGATTTTTCTGTAATTATTTCTTGTTTTGTGCTAAATAGTATCACCGAAAATTTGCCAATTTCAAAGATAAACATTAAGTCATGGAATATTCCCAAGGATATCCAATTAGCTGATCCGCAATTCAATGAGCCGGGAGAAATTCGTCTTCTTATTGGTGCTGAACTATTTTGGGATATTTTAATTCCAGAACAATTAAGTTGGCTTGTATCTGGGGCTATTAAGATACCATCTCAAAATGTTTATTGCAATTTTTCAAGAAGTGATGATATAAATGTTAATCTTCAAAAATTTTGGGAAATCGAAGAAACCGATAAGCAAATAATAATGTCTTCTGATGATACTGATTGTGAAAATCATTTTAATTTTTTCTAGAAATAAAGAAGGTAGATTTGTGGTTAAAATACCATTGCATTCTTCTATCTCTCTTTTAGGTGATTCCATGAACACCGCAATTAAACGGCTTCAAAGTATTGAAGGAAAATTTCAAACCAATTCGGAATTCAAATGTATGTATAGTGAGTTCATACAAGAGTATATCAAATTGGGACATATGTCATTATTGAAACCATTTGATAAGTCCAAACTCGCATTTTATCTTCCTCATCATGGAGTACTTCGTAAAGAGAGATTAACTACCAAACTACGAGTTGTGTTTGATGGTTCTGCAAAATCTAATTCTGGTTTTTCTATTAATGACTTACAATATGCTGGACCTTCAATTCAAAATGATATCTTTTCAATTCTTTTACGATTTAGACAACATACATTAGTCATGTCTGCAGATATCGAGAAAATGTATAGGCAGATCCTTATTCATCCAGACGATAGGCATTTACAGCGAATTGTTTGGAGAAATAAATCAAATGAAAGTGTTGCAGTTTATGAGTTGAATACAGTAACTTATGGCACGAAGTCAGCACCTTATTTAGCAATACGGTGTTTGAAACAGGTCACTTATGAGTTCCAAGACCAATTTGCTATTGCATCAGAAATTATTCTGGGTGATTTTTATGTAGATGACCTAATAACTGGATTTGATTCTGAACAACAAGCTATTACAATTTGTAAAGAAATAATTTTTATATTAAATTCTGTACGATTTCCGCTTCGAAAATGGACATCAAATAGTTCTAGGTTTCTAGAAAAAATTGAAAATAAGTCTGATCCAATGAGTGTTATCATTCTTGGTGACAACGAACAATTTAAAACATTGGGAATTCGTTGGGTACCAAAAACAGATGTGCTTGTGTATCATATTTCTGCAAGTTCTGAAAATATTGTGACAAAGCGATTTATACTTTCAAATGTGGCAAAAATATTTGACCTACTAGGTCTTGTTAGTCCATGTGGAATGAGTATTGCAAAACAGATAACAAGAAATTGTATAAAGTGTTTCAAATTTAAACCCAAATCAATAAATCCTATTATGGCACACTCACCAAAAACTCGAGTTACTTTAATGAATCCCTTCTATGTAACAGGAATTGATTATGCAGGCCCTTTCATATTGAAAGATAAAAGAGGTCGTGGTGCAAAATCATTAAAAGGTTATGTTTGTCTTTTTATTTGCTTTTCAGTTAAAGCAGTACACCTTGAATTGATTACAGATCTAACCACAGAATCTTTCATTGCTGCTCTACGACGATTCTCATCACGTCGTGGTAAACCGGGTCATATTTATTCAGACAATGCCACGAATTTTGTAGGGGCAGTCAAAGAAATAAATAATTTGCATAATTTTTTTATATCTTCAGGGGATGGCATTGTGCGTAATTGTGCTGATAAAAATATTGTTTGGCACTTTATACCTCCAAACTCTCCTCATTTCGGAGGACTATGGGAGTCTAGAGTTAAGAGTATGAAACATCATTTATTAAAAATTATTGGAGATACGCATTTAACATATGAAGAATTTAACACCGTTCTAATTCAAATAGGAGGAATATTGAATTCCAAACCGTTGTATCCGATGTCTCCTGATCCTAATGATTTACAATCCTTAACGCCGTCTCACTTTTTAATTGGCAAATCGTTAATTACGCTTCCTGATTCAAATGTTATGGATTTACAAATTGGAAGGCTATCCAGATATCAACTACTTCAACAAATTAATCAACAGTTTTGGAAGAGGTGGTCAAGGGATTATCTGTCTCAGCTGCAACAAAAATCCAAGTGGTCTCAACAGTCAAGTTTTTTAGCAGTTGATGATTTTGTTTTAGTCAAACAAGATAATCTTCCTCCATATCAGTGGTTACTTGCCAGAGTCGTTCAACTTTATCCAGGAGAAGACAATGTGGTGAGAGTTGCAACAGTTAAGACTAAAAATGGAATGCTTAAACGAGCAGTATCCAGGTTGTGTCCACTTCCTGTACCTGAAAGTGAGAACAGTGATGTGCTAAGTGATAGTCATCTTTAAACTTTGTTATTTAGTTTTAAGTATCTATTTAATTCTTTGTATCTTCACTCATACATATATACTGTAAGCATACTTACCAATTCTTTCTATCATGTATTTATTATTGAACTAAAATAGTTCAAGGTGGGGAGTATGGGAAAGTATTTTGTATGTTAATAAATTTTATATAATCTAAGTTTGTATAGAGACGGTTGCAGAGCAACAAAAACAAAAAAGTTGTTAAAAAATAAATTAAAAATGATGACATGTTCTAAATTCTATTAATCTATTTGTGTAGTTGTACAACCTTCAGGAAATAAAGAAAATTATTCAAATCAGCACAAGAGTTTATACAGTCCACTCTATCGAATAACATATTCTAAGAACTGAAAACCTTTTAATTATGTAAAATTACAATAGAAAGTGGTTATAGTATTAATAACAAACTAAAGTATAAAAATATTCGCTCTAACTATTCTTATTATAAAAATAATATTTGAAAACCTGATTAAATAGATCGCTCTTAAAATGTAAAAATTTCGTTCATCATGAAACTCTCTGTATAAAACGAAATATATCTTGGCAATGTTTTCAAGAATACCATTATTTTCTCATAGATTAAATTTGAAATAATTTATTTTTTAAAGAAAGAATAAAATATTTCAAAAAAACGTGAACTTGCAGAAATATATTTGAGCGTTTTCAAGACATGTTTAAAGAAACAGTATATTTATAATACAAAAATATTTATTATATTACATCAGCGTATATATAAAATCACAATCATAAATTACAGGTTAGGTTTGCTAAAAATGAACGGATCATGGTCGGCGAAAAGGTCTTTCTTGTTCCTCCTCTGGATGAGCAGCGTTGTACTCTAAGGATCGTAATATAGCGTCAGGAATTGGTGGTGCTGTGGGCAGATGAGCTCCTGATGGCTGGAATCCATTTTCGTTGGCTACGTATTGTAGTGCAATGGGCGTACCATCAGGAGCTGTGTACTTGAAGTCACCTTGTGCTTCCATTGTTTCGGGAGCCTTTAGATGCCCTTGCTCCCGCGCAGCGATTCCGTTCTCTGTTTCATAACTAAAATTTGACGAATATTATATTTACCCATATAGAATCAAGTAAATCCTAATTTTGAATGACAATTATGAAGATATGCATTCAATGATAAATGCTTAAAAGAACAAGTTTCGTAAATAAGTTTTAATATTTAATTAACTATTGGTAAGGCCAATTCTTGTAGCTTTAATGAAAAAATAATACTATTTTCATCACAGATGAACAATAATTATGTAACTATTTTATTTAAAATATAAATAATCCAAAATTATCGATATAAATTTGAAAAATCAACTAATAAGTAGTGTTACATCAATAGGTACTGTCAAGATAAATATATATAAGTGTACTATCCGCGGATAAGATATTGGAGTGTCAATTTTTTCGAAATATGTATAGTACTATTTTAGAATAAGTCTCGTTTTATTGCAGGGTGAAAATCAAACATTACCTCCACGAGTAGGATCCATCTGGGTTTGGTCCATCCTGAGTTTGACTAAGGATACGGATAATTTGTCCTGGAGTACTAGGTACGGGCCTATATTGCTGTCCTAATGAACAGCCTAGTATTGCAAAAAGTACTAACTGAAAGTTAATATAATTTAATTAAAATATGTCTAAGCAAAGTTTGTTTTCTAGGAATTTCAGTTCGTTTCAAATGGAGTGTTTGTTAGTTCCGTTTTAGAATCAAGTATCAATAATATTCGAACAATTATTATTATGTTTTATACGTTTTTCCTTATCCTTTTCTTTTTTGACATTTGATTTTAGTAAAATACGAATACTGTTTTTTTTCTGTTGAATGTAAGAGTTCACATTTGAAATCAGAATCAGAAATTACTTAGGTCATGAAATGGTAAATGTCATCGTTCTGTTACTACCTAAATAACACCGAGAAATTGTAGAAAAGACTACAACAGGGTACACTTTTCAATATATTGTCATTAATACTCATTTGGTTTTTAAAACCATGCTTATTGTATTTGCTTTAACTTTAGATAATAATAATTATAATTATATTATCTGCCTCATACGTACGTATAGGTATATTATTACAGATATCGCATTCAAATTTGTATAAAACTTAAGCGAAATTGTTATTTATATTCAAATATTAATATAAATATACTCGTACTATGTAGGCTGTAAACTGTAACTGTAAAAATATTACATAAACAAATTACTGTTATTAGGATTTATTATCATTAGCCAAGATTGAATTTGAAACTATAAGAAATGCAGAGCTAACTTCGAATATTTCTGACGGTTGTTAGAGCAGACATCATGTAATCCAGCCAATGGCAAAACAAAAATCACACCGCTTAAAAATTAATAATTAATGTTGTGCGAATATCTGTTCGTTTGAAAGTGACATCATGTACATTGGTTTATGTAGCGTTTACCGACATACATTTTATATTGCATGCTCCTGCTCCGTGATAACTATTTTGTGTATTAACTTCTAAACAAAAGAAGATATTTTAATTGCAGTCCAAGATATTTGTTCAAGGACTTAAGTCAGTGAAACAAATTCCCGTGAGAAAATTATCAATTTATTTTTGCTAAATGCTAAAATAACCTTAATGATTAAGTCTATGTCAAATTTACGCTTTTTCGCATTCATTTCCTCCATAAAACTAACAATAAGAATGTATTTATAAGGTTTTTATAAGTAGATATAGAGGAAGACAGAATAAAATGCAAAATTTCTACGTTATTAGATAGAATTACATTACATTATTTATATCCTATTTTCTGAATTTGAGCAAAGTGGAAATCTTCTGTTGGTATATTTTGAAATTCTCGATGGAAAATAAAGAACTATTTTAATAAAATTTGAAAAAACGAGTGATGAAGAAAATAAAAGTCTATGGGCCATTCACCAAGTGAGCCTGGATTTAATATTTGATTAAAATTATTACTGTGGCATATGGCAGCGTTAAAAATTAAATAAATATATATTATTTACAAATATGTACTTTCGCATTGATTATTTCCGACTATCCAAATTGAATTGTTATAAAGAGCAAAGTGTAATGATGCAAATTTTTTTCATTCTAAAAAAGCAAGCTACAACATTACAATATACTTCAGATAAGTAAACTTCTTAAACATTATTTTTAACACAGTTTGGTTCTTCTTAAGTAATAACTAGAGATGCTAATAACAAAATAGTTCCCAGCTTACCCTAATTATTGAAAGATAATATAAGTAAAATAATTAATAGAAATGAAAATTGATTTTTTAATGCAATTAAATATATATGATTCAACAGCAATATCCCGAAGAAAAACGATTTATTAAAAACGTAAATGCAAGTAAAATGTGCAGATATGGTTAAGGAAGATATAGCAGAAAGTTGTGAATATAATAAAAACTAAACAAACGATAAAAATTACTTTCGAATTATTTCACTACATATAAATCGGTCGGTAAATTTCTAAATGGAAATAAATGAAAATACATTAATATCAATTTTTTCATATTTCTAAAATTTCGAAAACATTACAAATGATTTTATGGCGGAATAACTTTCATCGCGATCGGTAGCACAATTTTCAATTCACTTTTTCACTCACCAATGTATTCATTATTGTGTGGTACCTACTGGTCACTAAGGTACTGTAATATAAATACTTCCAATCTAATTTATATATACTGGCACGTTAAGCCACGAATCATATAATCATTAATGCCCTCCCATCATCATAGCCTCTACTTATTTTTAAAGATGCATTTTAAGCTTAACACATCGCCAGGTAAAAGGTCACGAGGATGGTAAAGATGATACAAGTACTGTATTAAATGAGAAAGGTGTGGTTACGGATTCGGTTTACATTTTTTAATTAGCAATAGTATCGCTAAATATTTCTCCTTTTAATGTTAGGATGATACATGATTCACGGAATAATCAAAGTGCAACAATTGTTTTAACCTTTCCCTGTTATTGAAAGAATGCAATCGTTAAAGTACAGGTATTTATGGCGCGGAAAATAAATGTTGCTTAAATATTTTCAATTTTTAAATTTAATTAATACAGTGATATTATTCGCATCCACGTATGTTTGTAAAAATTAAAGGAAATATCTATCCAAATTAGAAGTTAGCGAAAATATCTCTATCAAATTTGTTATAACAAGTCTTTGGCTATTGATATATATCTATAACTTATACAGAGTTAGTAAATACTCGCGGAATTTACATTTTACTTTTTTAAAAAGTCTTTGTTTATTACTGGAAAGAATGTATTTTAATCCTTTACTAAGAAAAAGCAATTACAATTTGAGAAATTACTACCCGTTAAAATTTTCACAACTTCATTTTCACATGCAGAATATAAAACATTAAATTGAAATATTAACAATTTTATTTTATATAAACTAAATGTTCACAAAACAACAAATATATAGAGAAACATATATTACCTTTTTAGAAAACGTATATTTTGTTAACTCTCATATTTTTTACCCTATTTTAAGTTCAAAATTTTTTTTCTAGAAAATGTTTTCAAATAAAGTCAAACAATGTTCTTCGGTACCGGAAATCTAGGTATGCAAAAGACATCAAACCTCTCAGACAAGATTCCTTACTGCTGATATTGCGGGAAGTAACTACTATACAGGGTAATTTCAGACAATTTTCAGTGAATCAAACTTTAACCACAAATAAAACTCGATAGAATTCAGAATCATTCAGAATTGCTTTATAAAGCAAGGCTCTAAGTCTTACCGTTTTCACTGTACATTATTTAATATTGTTTTGATTTCTAAGATAATACGTGACATCATAATAATATTAATTTAAAATTTATTTCCTATCCTTAAACTAAATCTCTCTCTCTCTCCTTATCTTATCTGTGTACCCTTGGTACACGGCTGACATGATTAAGAGTATTAAGAGGAAAGCACAGTGCTATAAGCAGTTTAAGAATACTGGTCGCCATGAGTTTTTGCGTGAATATAAAGAGCTGAGAGCATATATCAAGCATTGTTCTGGATTAGCTTATAATGATTATATAGTTAATGCTGAGCTTAATCTGTGTCATCATCCGGAGCAATTTTGGTCATTTATTCACTCAAAAAACCGTTTCACAAGCATTCCTGGAAGTATGAACTATAACGGTCAAACAATAAATGACCAACAAATTATTGTTAATGCGTTTGCAGAAATTTTTCACAGCGTTTTTGTTGATCCCAAGATTAATAATCATACCAACGCTCTTCCGTCCTCGGCAAATTGTATTATTTCATTTAAAAACATCACTGAGGCAGAGGTGATTGAGGCATCAAAAAGATTAAAAAATAAGTTTACCTGCGGTCCAGATGGTATACCGTCATTCATTGTTAAAGACACGGTCCGAGTTTTAATGGCTCCTTTACTGGCAATATATAATCTTTCAGTTACAACAGGAGTTTTTCCTATAAGTTGGAGAGAGGCGAAAATGTGCCCTATATTCAAAAGTGGCGATCGCGATCTATCCTCTGTAATTTTTCTAAGATTTTTGAAATCATTTTGTATAACGGTTCTCGGTTTCTCAACAAATATGTCCATGTCAGCATGGTTTCATGAAAATGAGATCAACAACCAGCAATCTGGCCGTTCTCTCCCATTATGCATTGAAAGCGGTGGACAGTGGAGTTCAGTTCGATGTTATATATACCGACTTTGCAAAGGCATTTGACAGAATTAATCATAATATTCTTTTGCAAAAACTTTACAGCTTTGGTTTCAATTCTGATTCAGTCTTACTGTTACAATCATATTTATCCGAAAGACAACAATATGTTTTTTATAATGGTTACGGTTCTGTCAAGTATTTGGCGAAGTCGGGAGTACCTCAAGGTTCAAATTTGGGTCCACTGTTATTTTTGTTATTTGTTAATGACCTTACAACTAGTCTGAACTGTCGGAAACTAATGTATGCTGATGATTTAAAAATTTTTTCTAACATTACCTCCTTAAATGACTGTGTCGTTCTTCAAGGAGAAATAGCAAAAATTGAAGCCTGGTGTAATTTGAACGATTTATATCTAAATGCTAAGAAATGCAATATTATTAGCTTTACAAAGAAGAAATCACCTTATTGTTATAGTTACTTAATTAATCACATCAAAATTAATCGTTTGACTAAAATTAAAGACTTGGGAGTGATCTTCGATCAGGAATTATCTTTTTCATGTCATATCGTGTCCAAGGTCGATGATGCAATGAAGGCTTACGGTTTTATACTTCGCAACTGTAAATCGTTTACTAATGTCGCGTCGCTCATTATTTTGTATTTTTCGTACGTTAGAAATAAACTAGAATA